GGTTAAGCTTATACCATGTATTCTTTAGAATGGTGAACTGTATCCCTTTGTGATTATTCATCCTAATTACATTTCTGCCCTCAGAAGTTTTTTTCTGTTAGTGCTGGAAGGAAGAGAACACGCCCAGAATATCTTCATCAGCATTTCCATACAATACTTTCTGCACTCTGCACATTTAGCTTTTTAACTTGTCTTTTTAGAAGATATAGAGACACAGCCCTAACCCTTAAATACTTTTGTTAATTGGTGAAAATAAGCTTCGTCTTCCTGCTTATGAAGATCTAGTGTACAGTAGATCTATGTCATTGTTATCACTTCCCATGTTTTCTCTGTTACTTTCACCCAGAGACATTCAGCAAGTCTGCTTCCCACATTTTCCAGAACTTTGGAAAAAGCATATGTATTATTGGCATAAAATTTTACATCTCCTGTTTTTTTCCTCATCTGCTTTTAGTGAACAAGCTAGCCTGACACCCTGCTCATGTGATTTATCCATGAGCACTAGCTCGTTTCAGAATTTAAACACCTTGAAGGTTTGGAAACATTTTTCTTAAACAACCAGGCACCCAACACTGTGTACCTTACCTACAAGGACTGCTGGAAGGAAGAATGTATTATGTATAGGAGAATAATACGATACCATATTGGGTCTTCTTTCTCATTGGATGACTAAGAGATGATTTTGCAAGTTCCAGACTGTTACAGTACAGGGCATACTGACTAAGAAGATGAATGGGGATGTTAGGACATGCAGACAAAAGGACATGGGATGAAATTACAGAAAGTTAGCGGAGGAGGCAGGATCAAATTGTCTATGGGAATCAGAATGGCTATGAAAAATGGAGGATATCAGAGCTTGGCTCTTTTAATAGCCAGAAGTAATGGTACATTACATGTGGAAAGATCCTGAAGTCATAAGCCCAGTTGTGATTTGCAAGGGACAGTTTGACCCAACTGGAAGGCTTCAGGGAGATAGATAAGTGTCAGCATGTTTGCAGTATTAGCAACATGTAAGGTCTGATCCTTGAAGGTGTAAATATTTAATCTCATCTATGTCTTTGAAGCTTTTTCAGTTTTGCTACTATTTTTACCACCAGACCTCTCCCACATATAATGTTAATACAGGTAATTCTGTCAACAATATCCCTTTCCAAAGAATAGCTGGTTATTATCCATGTTGATATGTGTTTTATCCACATACTACAGAAAGCAGTCAAGATTATGGCTGAGTACTTCAGACCACATAATGAAATAAGCAATGTATTTTCACATTTGGAAAGAACATATTGCAAACAGGGAAGTGCTAGCCATAATATTTTAAAACTAACCAATTTAGAATAATTGTTTTATTATTAAATATATAAATAATACAGTAATATTTATACCAGTCATACTTTACAGTCTGGTTCCTTAGCATTTTATGCAGCTAGCCCAGTTAGTTTCCCAATACATAATGTCTTAGAAGGATGTCAGATAATAAATAGCTTTAAGAATTTTCAATAGCAGGGATTTCCTCAAAGCTGGGAGCTCAAATACCTTATTTGACTTTCAAACACGGAAGCCCTACATTTTTCTTCTTATTTTCTCACTTTATTTTAACTGTTTGAATAGTGAGACACGAACACTGTCCTATCTGATTGCTTTCAAATTGGCTTGTTTTGGGGACATAGTTGGGATCACACACCTGTTTATTCTTCCCAGTCTGTGAAGGCAGTTGCTACTGAGGCTGGAGGCTTGAGATGTTGATTGACAATGACTGCAATTATCAGTCTATTTCATATGAGAATTTCCTTCCATGCAGTCATGACAGTAGGATGCTAGACATTCCTCATACTTTTTCATTACTTAATTGTAATTATTCCATAAACATTAATGCAGGGTCAAATCTTGCTCATCTTATTTCATTTAGGTTTGGATTACTTGCTTAACTGAAGACACATGGATGTGATCCATGATAAAAAACAAATTATATTGCTTACCTGAGAGTTACCAGAGAAGATCCACCTGCCTAGAGCAAAGCCACTAATGCTAAATATCCTTTAACTCTAGTGTAGATAATATAACATCAGGAAGGTTTTAGCTCAAGAGGGACTAGCTGAATTAAGGTTAGTTTAAGACCATTACAAATATCTGCTGATAAAAATCCTACAGTGTGAGCAACATCATTTCAGCTACCCCTTTCTTGAACATACATGGTCACTTAGTCTGAACTGTGTGGTAATTTTATAACATGAGTTGTAATGATTCAATATCCATTGGTAGTATAAATGCTATTTTATGCAGTGATGCAAGTTTGTGCTTAAGGCTATCATTCACAGAGTAGATATGACCTATGGCAGAAGGCTGAGAGTGTAGAACAGCCTCACTTAGGCAGTAGGAAGTGTTAGGCATGGATGCAAGGTATAAGCCATTCCCTCTCATCCTATCACCAGACACCTGAAAGAAAGATCAGCACTTCCCCCTCCATTCCTTATCATAAGGAAGTTTTAGACCCAGTTGAGGTCTCCTCTGAGCTGAACAAACTGGGTATCTTCAACTGCTCCTCATGAGTCATGTCCTGTAGTCTTTTCGATACCTTTATTGCCCAGCTTTGGACACAATGTGATATTTTTCTACTGTTGGCCCAACAGGACACATCATTGTTGACTCTTATTAAGCTTACCGTCAGTCAAAACTGTCAGATCCCTTTCTGCAGGAGTCTTGTCCCCCAGTCTGTACATAAAAGTGTATGAAGTTAGTAAGGCATGACTTTCCTTCCTGAACCCATGCTGGCTTTGTCATAGATGCTTAACACCTTTACACAGGCACTGAGCAGGGATTTTGAGTTTTTTTCATGCAGAAAACATTGGACTTCAGTGCTCAAAAGGGCGTATCTCTAGAAGTTTGTGGATACAATGTGTCTATGAAATTAGGCTTTTTCAGTTGGAGCTTTTTTAACTCCACTCCCAGCAATGCATTTCTGGATAAAACTTAACACTTCCCTGACCATCCTTCCAACTGATTCTCCAGTTGGAGACTGGAGACAGTTTTACAAGTGTAAATAAATTTGGCCTCAGAATGCTGCATAGTCTACGCTGTAAATATCAGCAGATGAAGGTCTGCAGAAGACCAGCACCTTTTCAGTGAAATGTAGTTACTGCTGACTGTGCTGTAACCACTAGACTGTGCTTCTGGGCTGAATACAGCAATTTTGCATGTGGATTTAAATTGCAGACCTAGGCTTTTACCGCTTTTTGTTAAGTGCTGATGACAAAGAGTAGAAAAATCTGCCTCTTAAAAAGCTGCTGGGCTTTAAAAGAGGGTTTTCTTAGAAACACTTAATTGGAAGATTGTTTCTAATTACGTATTGTTTCCTGAGATTTATTTCTTCTCCCCCCTTTACTTTTTGACGATTAAGACATTTATATGAATACCAGATCTTGTTTTCTTAAGTGATCATCTGCTCTTGCTATTTATTCTTGTTATGGAATCATAATCTTCTGTTATTTTTCACATTACAATAATTTCCACAGCAACCAGCTGATATGTCACACAGTGGGGCTTATGATTTCAAGCGCTGTTTTGTTTTTACATATGAAGTTTCTGTCTTTTAAGGAAATACCTCTTGCCCACCTAAACTCTGCAATTAAATGAGCACAGAAAAAAACATGCTATAGAAGCAATATTATATCAAAGATTTCTGTGAGATAGTGGCAACTTTTCAATGCTTTCTTAACATAGTTTGCTGAGGAGAATTTTCCATTGTTTCTAATTTTGGGCCATTAATACCTTCTCTGCCAAATACATGAAAAGACATTCTAGAAGAAGTTAAGTAATAACATGGAAGTTTTGTATCTTTATGAAGTCTCAGGAGAGCCTTAGAGGCACATTTTCTGTCTTGCTGCCTCTTCTGTAATAAGGACAAGCATGTAGAGCTTTTAATGCCCTGGCACTTGGACCCTGTCTGGAGAAAGAGGTGGAAGAGATGTTTCTTCAGTTCCTTGTCAGGCTGAGGCTGCTCCTCATTAGGCACAAAGGAACAAAAACAGAAATGAAAGAAAAGCAAACTGCCAGTTTGTGTTTCATTAGGGCTGCAGTCTTAGTGCCCAACTATATCAGAAAAACAACTTTCTTCAGAAATTCAGGGTATTGATTGTTGCTGAGTTAGGGACTTAAGATGAAGGAGGCAAACTCTGCCAAAGATGCCTTTGCTGACACTGGGCTCTCGGAGGGCCAAGTAAGATGTGACAGTGGTCTCTCATTGGACAAGATGAGGCCCCCAGAATAAGGGCTTTCAGATGAGAAAGCACAGGCTCCAGCACAGAGGTTGCCCTAATCATGTGTTCGGAACAAGAGGGAGCTTTTAAAATGAAAATAGCAAGGATAGTCATCTAGCGGTCTCAATACATTTCAACACTGCTCTATCTTTCCAAGTTATTTAAGCATCCTCCTGATGCTCAGGCATGTGACACTGACTTTTGAAACACATGACAAAGAGAACGGAATGATGAGCAGAGAAAGAAGTCTTACACAATATGGGATGCACTTCTCTGGTATTTACGGAGCTTCTGTCTCTTCTCCTCCTTTTAAAGGTTTTTCAATGTAAATTGTTTACCATAGTAAAAATAAGATGCTATTAGCTGAGGAGAAACTGGATGAAGGGAGGGGAGAAATAAGCAGTATGTCAGAGTAGGAGAAATGATAGCTCTGACCTCTTGAAGTCAGGAGTGGTTGCCCAGGGCCAGTGTTTCAAACTGATTGCACTTGCCCTGCAAGTAAATTTTCTCTCCCCTGCTGAACTTCATAGTCCAGATCTGAAAGCTGTTCTGAAAGCCCAAGGCTGCACATACAAGATATAGCTGCCAGGTACAGTTTGCCTTCAAATTTGGGCAAGCTGGTAAGAAACCACCTTGCAAAATACAAGCCAACCTTCCAGAGCATGCCTTTGAACAAAGTAGTTAATGATAAGTAGCTTTTCCCTGTCCTTTGTTTGTTTAACCACTGTATGCTATTTATTGCAGGAGTGATTCGTGAGAGTTACCTAAAGGGTCATGATCAGCTGGTTCCGGTCACCCTGTTGGCCATTGCTGTTATTCTTGCTTTTGTCATGGGGGCTGTCTTTTCGGGCATCATTGTGTACTGCATCTGTGACCACCGCCGCAGAGATGTGGCCGTTGTACAGAGGAAGGAGAAGGAATTGACCCACTCTCGCCGTGGCTCCATGAGCAGTGTTACCAAGCTCAGTGGCCTCTTCGGGGACACTCAGTCCAAGGAGCCAAAGCCTGAAGCTATCCTCACACCTCTGATGCACAACGGCAAGCTGGCTACCCCAGGTAACACTGCCAAGATGCTAATCAAAGCTGACCAGCACCATCTGGACCTGGCTGCCCTGCCAACCCCTGAGTCCACCCCAACCCTGCAACAGAAGAGAAAGCCCAGCCGTGGCAGCAGGGAATGGGAGAGAAACCAGAACCTCATCAATGCCTGCACAAAAGATATCCCCCCAATGGCCTCTCCCGTGATCCCAACTGACCTGCCACTCAGGGCTTCTCCTAGCCACATTCCCAGCGTTGTCGTCCTGCCCATAGCCCAGCAAGGCTACCAGCATGAGTACGTTGACCAGCCAAAAATGAGTGATGGAGCGCAGATGTCTGTGGAGGACCAGAATGCAACCCTTGAGTACAAAACTATCAAGGACCATCTCAGCAGCAAAAGCCCCAGCCATGGGGTTAACCTGGTGGAAAATCTCGAGAGCATGCCACCAAAAGTACCCCAGCGGGAAGCCTCCCTCGGGCCCCCAAGCGCCTCATTGTCACAAAGTGGCCTGAGCAAGCGGCTGGAGATGCACTCTTCTGCTTACAACGTGGACTACAAGAGAAGCTACCCTACAAACTCGCTCACGAGAAGCCACCAGACATCGACCCTCAAAAGAAACAACACTAACTCTTCTAACTCGTCCCACCTCTCCCGCAATCAGAGCTTCGGCCGAGGCGACAACCCGCCACCGGCCCCGCAACGAGTGGACTCCATACAGGTCCATGCTGCACAGGCACAGGCTGTGACTGTATCTCGACAGCCGAGTCTTACCACCTACAATTCGCTGACAAGGTCAGGGTTGAAACGCACACCCTCGCTAAAGCCAGATGTACCTCCCAAACCTTCCTTTGCTCCACTCTCCACATCCATGAAGCCCAACGATGCATGTACATAATCAGAGTTGGGGGGGAGGGGGGATAATGGCAATTAAGCAGAGGTTGCCCTCAAAATCCAGTGTTCTGCAACTGTTATTGCTTGCTCCTCTGAGAAGAAGGTTGTTGTAAGCTGAAGATGTGTTGAATTTCTGCTCTCTGGGAAAAGTGGAATATTTTTTTAAACCCGAGCCATACGACTCATGGTTGAAGGTTTGCAATTGCAGGACTTACCCCCACAACCCACCAGTTCTTTGCTCAAAAGAGTAACCCTCCATCACAAACGTTGAGCCAAAAGCACACAGGTGAAAGATGACTGTGACATTTCACCCCCTACCCCCAACTGCACAGTGCATTCCTGAACTGGGAAAGAGTGCTCTGAAAAGCAAAACAAAAACAAACATTTAAAAAATACAAAAAATAAAAAGAAAAAAAAATCCATTGATAAAGCTAACTTTGACTTAACCGTGGCAGAAGTTTACTATGTGCAGGTACTGTGAAATGATGCCCATCAGTATTACAGCCACTTGGTTACAGCAGTTAAAACCCGTGTTGGGCAAACTATGTCATAGATTTCTGCTACCCTTCTCTTTTAACGAATAACACATGTGACTGTTAACACAAGTAACTCTTCTTATTTATTGTTCAACTTTCTTTTTTCCTAAAGAAATGACTTCTGCATATCATCCTGAGAGCAGCTCTTCAGAGAAGTACCTTGAAAGCTATACCTATTTAACGTGAAACCCATTAACTGGAGTAATTAAAACTCTTTTATTTTTCCAATAAATTCACTGAGGTAGATAAATTGGAGCTGGAATTCTGAACTTTGTGCCTGGACTGCCTGATTAGCTGAAAAAAAAAAAAAAAAAGAAAAGAAAAAAAAAAATAAGGGGATATCTGTTTAAGTCTCTCAGCTAATTAGCTGGCTTGGCCTCTGACCTAAGACAGCAACAAACAAATACTGCGAGTTCATAACTTCTAAAGCAACTGCAAGAGAAACTCTTTAAAAGCTGCACATTTGTGCACCATTGCTATCAACATGGCTTTGTCAGTAGCTAATACTTTCTGTGAAGGCACCAGCTTGTGATGTGCCATCTCATTTCACCTTGCATGTGAGACGGCAAACAAAATCCTCAAACAGTGTGAACTAATTAATATGCCGGCTGTTACCATGCATAAATTATGGTCTTATCACACGGGTTTTTCGTGGGAAATATATCTGTGAATAGCCTGTTTTCTTCCACATGTAAATTTGTGCCTTACACCCTCAGTTGTGTATACTTGTGAGCTGTAGTATGTAAAAACCTTTTTCTTTTTCCCCTTTGAGTAATGCAAATATTTATTGATCCTTCCTCCTCCAAGCCCTTTAAAGAACTGGAGTAAAGACATAGAATGAAGAACGTGGTGGTTATTGTCATAACCCCATGTCCCTTAATAAATTAGGCTAGCACCATATCCTCCGCTTTGATTTGACTTTATAGCTGTGCCAAGTCCTCCCTCAAAACCGCCTACAAGCGGCAATGCTCCCAAGGCACCATGCTGGGGGTTCCGCCTTCCTCCACCTCCTGCTCCCCCTTTACTGCCTGTCAGTGTGGCGATCATCTCACCGGGCAGCAGGGAAGTTACCAACACCTTTGTCCATCAGGACTGGTGTGTTCCCTGCCGGTATGTTCCCCTTTGTCCACAAGCACCGGGGAGAGGGGTCAGCCCTGCAGAAAGCCTGGCCACGCATCCTGCAGCACGCAGGGCTAAAGGAGCGAGGACAGGCAGGCAGGCTCCTGCTGTGGCTACCTGCTGCTCCAGAAGGATGCTGCATATACTTCTTTGGGGAAAAAATGGCTTTTTTTTTTTTTTCCTTTGTTTCTTTTGTGTGACTGTGCATGTAGCTAGCGTGGGAGTGTGCGTGCACACAGGTGTGTGCGTGTGTGTGTGCACGCCAGTGTGCAAGTTCCTTTCCAATCTTTTGGTTTATGCAAAAATGTAGACGTGTTTTTAATCTGTTACAATAACTGTGTCAACATACTGTAGAAAAAATGATGGGGATCGCTTCTAAGCTTTTTATATATATATATATATATCTACTGAACAGTATGTTTGAGTAAGGTGGTTGTTGCTGTTTCAATTTGTTTTTTAAAATTTTATACTTCCATTTGTTTTTCAGGGCTTTGTTTTTGTTTCTGAATGATTGAAAAGACAGATTTTAAGTCCATTAGCTTATAGATGGTATATATAAAGTCTGGATGGTCTAGACCAAAGTGTGTAACAAGGGTGCTTGCATGTTCTTTCATTTCACCATGGCTTCTTTATGAAACAGTTTTGTTCACCCCTAGTGAACTATGCAGACTGGAGTAGATAGATCAGTGTCCGAACTAATGTTGTTTTAATAAAAACAAACAGAAGACCCTTTGAAAACAATAGGTAGCAAGGTCATTTTTTAAAATGAACCAACTCACAACCTTTTTATCACGCTCCAAACCACTGGAGCACCAAACACGCAGGTGCCCTTGATACTACCCCACAAAGTGTTCTCCTAAAACATAGAGATGAATAATCATGGCAACAGCTTGTGTAGCGATCTGCCTTCACAATGTACACCACACCAGTTACTTGGTTGACCTGAAAGCGTGTATTTTGTAGTTGGTGGATCTTCCGCTTTTGTCCTTTCACTCACCCAGTTCCCTTCCACCCTCTGTTTCGAGGGGTTCATGAACCTATGTGTGCCTTTGCTTTCCACCCTTGCTATACACTGGTAGATGCAACAAATTCAGACTCTCATTTGTTGTAAAGTTGTAAAGTATTGTGATGTCATCAGTTTCCCTTCATTTCCACATCCCCCTAACATCTGAGTCACAACTTAATGTATGTTGTAAAAAAATTTAAAAATTAAAAAAAATTCAAAAAAAAGGCAAGAAAGAAAGAAAAGGAGGAGGAAGAGAAAAGGGGAAATAAAAGCTCTTGATTACATATGGAAATAAAACCAGACTGTTCTACCTTATTTCTTGTGTTCTGGTTCTTTTATTTCTACAATGATTTATCCTTTTCCTTAAAAATTATAAACAAATGCGATGCTGATCAATTAGATCAGGTTATGGGGAGAAAGAAATTTGTTACTTTCTGTCTCTTAAAGAAGATGAATTTGACTTTAGGTAAGGTGATGGTAATTAAAAATTGAATCACACATTTGCTCTCTCTCTATTCATATTCTGCATTTTCTTTTTATGAGCTTGTTCATCATCAAATATTTATGGCAGACTTGACAGTTTAAAAGATCAAGGCTGGGATTTAAGCACACATGGTCCACCAAAATAGATCATCATACAGATGTGACTTCATCTCCAGGCTTTACATATTAATGACGGAGAAGCCTCTGTTTTCCTTTAGCAGGCATAAACTGATTGAGCTTCATAGACCTGATTTAGATGATGTTGCTGGAGAATAATTCTACAAGCGAATGGTAGTAAACAGATAAATAACAAAAGAGCATATAACTTCCCTAGTCCTGGGAGCCATTAAAATGCATTCTCCCATGTTGATTTTGTGTAAAATGGGATCACTGATGCACAGCCATTTACAGTACAGGTGAATGCATGGTTACATTAGTTACTGGGCTTAGTGGGTTTTGTTTTGTGACAGAAGTTTCTTATGATCCTGTAGAAATGAAGAATCCCATACAGTAATTTACTCTTGCTCAGGTCATCGTCAGGCTTTCCTGCCCTTCCAGGACACCCTGTTCTGGACACCCTACAGCCTTACTAATACATGCCAGTCCCCTACCTTGCACCAAGGATAGTCCTGACACTGACTCCACAGAAAGTGGTGAAGTACCAGCTTTCCTCAAGGAGCAGAACATCATGGATTTAAAAAGAAAAGTCACAAAGCCTTGGCACACTCTCCTCAGTGGTAAAGCAGGAGGACCCCCTACAACTCCATCTCCCCTCTGCCCTGAAGGACACCAGGGCTCCAAAGGTGGTGGCCTTGGTCTAACAGTGACATGCAAGAGCAAAGCAATGCAAACATTTTTCAGTGCCTTGCCTACATATGCATCTCTCTGTGTTTTTTCTCAGTGACAGGCTTCTCCTTAGCCATACATACCAGCATGCTGTTGTGTGGTGTGGACACATGGAGGCTGACTGCCATGGCCAAGACCTGGCAAGCTGCCCTAAGCGGTGCTGCGTGACTCCAGGTCTCAGGACGGGGGGGTACCGTATGACCACACAGTTGCTGCATTTGACTGGTATGCTCCCAGAGTCGCAGCAAACAGGAAAGCAAAAGCTCTCTGGGTGCTTAGGGATGAGTATGGTTTTCAGTCCTGCGAACAGTCCTTTGTGAAGTTACTTTGTCCAGCTTTGTTTGGAACATTTCATATAAGCTGCACCTATGGAAAGTATTCAAAGATTAATATATCTCTATCTTAACATTAATATATCTCTATAAACAATTGCAGGCTGTTGCCTGGAGGATAGGGCCCAAGAACACCTCTAGCAGTGGCACTGGCTACCTTCTTTGCAAGAGCTCCTCCATCTGTTGCCAGCAAAGGGACAGCCTATTTAAAGTACTGGCATGAAGGAGGAAGAGAGGGAAGCAGAATGCCCCAAGTCATGAGTCTACGGGTTCTGTAACTGCTCTGCTTGTGTGGCCAAAACTGTCACTCAAGGAAAGGTGTGAACCTACCCACCTTAAAGCAATTCCCCTTGCAGCAGGTCCCTAAACATGCACCTTTGCACCGTCACACACATAGTCCCTGACAGAGACCTGACTTACAATACTGCTGTGTGGAAATGTCTAGAAAAGGAACCGAAGGAAACAGGGTGCATCACATTCCACTTGCCCTGGTGGGGTCTTGGCCAGCCAAGTACAGCACAAGCATTTACAGCAGCACGCTGCAAGGGGAAGGTCACTTTACCAAGCACCAACAGCAACCCAAAGAAGAGGCAGTGCCCTCAGCCTCCAGTATGGTGGCTTTTGACAGGGGAGGGGACCACTGGGTTACCCGCTGTCTATTTGAACCATGAGATCCAGCCCCTGCCACACACTGCAAAAATTCCCTGGACCTGACTAAGGCAAAGAAGATACCTGGGAGAAAGCAGGGATGCTTTGAACACTTCAGTCAAATTAGTGTCACCTTATTGATCATATTAATGTTGACCTCATTTAGCATGTCATCGAGGACGCATAAGTTCTTTTCCAGTCAGCATTAACTTGCATACATACTTTTACACAAAATAGAGCCCAGCTGAATGACTCAAAACAATAGGTCTCTGTAAATAAATCCTGGCCCATCACCCTCTTCCTCCCCTCTGTACATTTTCCGCATTGTAACTTCTACAGCAGGGAATATTTTGCACCTGAAAGCTCCTCGCACAAAAAAAAAAAAAAAAATTATGTTGGCAGTAAGGAAAAGCATGGGCAATTCAGTGCACTTTGCTGCCAGCAGGATGGCAATACACAGCGCTGATTTTGCATTAAAGGGGGTGCCAGAATAAAGTGCCAGCACAGTAATGCATCTACACTAGAAACAGCACAGTGGCCAGAGTCATTTCTGGGGTGCAATTCCAGATCATTCTGTCACACAATTAGCAGGAACACTCTGTGATCTTTCCCAGCGCTGGACATGGATTCTTGCTCCTTAAAGCTTGCTTATAAAGCTTGTTTAAAGCAATGTGGAGGACCTCAAGTGGTAGTCTTGTCTAGACCACTGCACTGCATCAGGATCAAGCAAATCTAACCCAGTGTTGATAGTCTCACATCTCCTTGTTTCACTCTGGGAAGAAACTGAAGTCACCCAAGGGATCAACACTGAGCATTTCACAGTGTCCAAAGAAAATAATATACTAAGAAAGTGGGTTGGATTGGCTTAGTTAAGGCCAGTTTTCTATTTATCCAATTAAAGTTAATTTCCCAGATGTATGGCACCTGCTCGAACAAACAAGTGTTAGAGAAGCCCAGTGTGTGTGTAATACTCACATGCTTCCTGCTGATGTGTGTGTTAATGAGTCTCTAAGTAGTCTTTTTATGATTTCCCCCCTTTTTTTGAAGAGTAGAGATACATTTCTTTTCAGAATAAGTACTAAGAAGGTCATCATCACATTCCTTGTGCAAGGAAGAGGATGACTTCTTTGTATGAATAGAAACAGGTAAATAGTCATCTGTCCCCTGACTTTGTAATTTAAACAGTGTAAGTCAGTAGGGAAAGGCTATAATTGGAGTCAGAGTAAGTGAGGTGTAAATTGCTAGGTGGCAGTACCATCTGCATCTTGTTTTAATTAGCCAAGTTTATTATCAGACTATAAACTTTCTGCTATTCAAGTCCTTGTTTTATTTCACCCATCAGTCCAAAGCGATTGCCACATGTCTAGGTAAGCACAATTACTGATCAGTAAAGGAGAATTATCCTCCCCACTGATCTGGCTAACAGTTACTGTGTCTAGGAGTAGGTACACAAATATGACTAACCAAGATCACTGTCACATCTGCTTAGTGTTTCATGACAAACTCTATTGAGGCTAACAGTACCACTGTTAATTCAATTAGATCAGTGTTTTCCTTTGCTGGCCCTGATGCATTTGGAAGACCAGCAACTGTATGCAGAGCGTGGCTGGCAGGCCTCTGCAAGGAATAATAGCATCATAAATAATATATTAAGATGAAGACAAATCTAGCAGGCTGCAGTCAGAGCACATCAGCCATATAGCTGAACCCTGCAATATCACAAGTGGGGGAGGAAAAAAGTAGCTATGACAGGAAATTATAACAGCTATAAATGACAGGGACTACAGGAGGGAACAAAACTCATTAGGTCAGCTCTTTAAGCAAAGTGCAGGGGAAGCACAGGCCAGCCTGCCGGCAGCAGTGGAGTCACTGCATGCCCTCACATTCATCCTCCTTAAGATGAAATAGCAGACGGCTGGTGCTGGATTTAAGGGAAGATGATAAATAAGGAAAATGGCAAAGAGTTCAGTGGAAATCCAGCTCTTTCTCTGGCCTGCAAGCTCTGCCCTAGCATTCAGCACCCTTGGAGGGCTTTTCAGGGCTGCCCCTGTGCAGCGAAGCTGCCACCTCACCATCAGCAAGGAAATCACCCTGCTTTGGGGAAGCACCTTGCACAGCCAGGGGGATCAGCCTGCGGGAGTGAAGGGCACAGGTAACAGGGCTAATGGATGGGTCCTTTGTTCTTACCTGCTCGGTTTGAGCTAGCAGGTACCATGCATCAGCAGGCAAGCACAGTCACACCATAGCAAACATCAGGGAGTAAGAGACATGCTTGTGGAAATCCTATTCCAGCCTCTTTTGTGGTCAAAGGGAAAAAAACCCAAAACGTACCTTAGCCTCAGCCAACATGTTAGTAAAAGGGTGCTGATAAGAGCTTTCCAAAACAATTTCTGCCCTTTTTTTCTTTAATAATATCTTGCTGTGTAGGGAAAGGCACCCACGGGGGGGGGGGGGGGGAGAGAAGAAGTTAAAAAGAGAAAAAGGAAAGAAAACAAGAAGATTTTATTTCTCTGACTTTTAGAAAGGATGACATAATCTTATCAATTCTCAATAAACACAAAGTATTCAGGCTGCTGATAAAGGTATTGCTTCAGATGGTGCAAGCAAACTGCAGATTGAGGGGTTTTTAACGCTGCACAAATTGCCTGTGAAGCAACCTTTTATGAGATATGGTGGTTCAAACAATTTTGTAAAGAGCAGGAGACAAAGAGTTCCTTTTACGCTAAAATGGTTTCCTAGGAAACACTGTAAAATGTAACATGATACCTCTTTGTGGAAGTTCAAGGACTTGTGTGTCTGAGAGCGTGTGTTTCTCCTGACCCTGTTTCTTTTTTTTTCCCCTTTATTGGTGTGGCATGTGGTATCGCTGGCCAATTTACCTTTTGATGGTATCACAAGGACAGAGCAAGCCTGTACCACAGCAGCCCACAGTCTGAAGGACACTCTTCACTTTGATAATCAGATGTCTTCTCTAAACAGAAAGGAGAAAATTTTGATCAAAACCAA